TGTGGCACATGTCTTTAATCCCAGCACTTGGGAGGCAGAGGCAGGTGGATCTCTGTGAGTTTGAGGCCAGCCTGGACTACAAGAGCTAATTCAAGGACAGGCTTCAAAGCACAGAGAAATCCTCTCTCAATAAAACAAAAACAAACAAACAAAAAGAGTATATGGTGTGAGAAAGAAAAAACAAAATTAAGGAGCTATTCTATTTTCATGAATCTCATAATCCTATGGTGTTATTTTTACTCTTTAAATTTTTTCTTAAGGTATACATATTATCACAAATTTTATAATATATATATACTGTTAAACTTACTGTCATGATATTAATGATCATATAGACTACTAACTAGTTATTTAAAAGGCTTTATCTGCTTTCCTGTTCATGATTTCAAATTAAGCTTTTGTGCTCTGGATATCCCTAACAAAATGTAGTCCTTTAATCTCTCTGAGATCTGCTACACATGGCATTTAAAATGTTTAAGTTTTCTACAGTGAACCATGACCATTCCTAATAGCAACCGCGAAGTCTCCAAAATGATGATGGGACCCCACCCACAACAATGATTCCCACATGGATTGTGGTAGCACCACTAAAGTGACAAACACTACCCAAAGATCAGCTTTGGACTACAACCTGCTCAGGACAATTTTAAGGTGGCTAGTTGAGATGTTCTAGCCTCATGCACTCCAGCTGTTACTTCAGATAAGAGAAATACATTTCCCATTACACAGAGACTGATAGTAACTGATAAAGCTAGCTTTCCCAAGACTTGACCATTGTTTAATTTTATCATGGTGCTCTAGATATGTAATCACCCCCAGACAACAGAAAGCAACCTAGAGAACATCATGTCCACATTCCCAGGAGTTTGGGTAGATGGTTTTTCATAATTAAGTGGGTTATAAATATTTGTTATTCATTAGGAGGGTTGGCGCAAGTAGTTTCTGGTAATTGTCAGGAAAAAAACTAAACAGAAAAATTAGATTCAGGGATCTCATTCTGAAAAGAAAAAGTAGAGCGTATAGAAATGATGGGATGAAAGTTTAGATTATTGAATTTGTTTTAAACTAAAAATAAACTACTCATCTTAAATATGTTATGTTGGTATGATTTTTTGTATATTGATATAAATTTAAGGTTATTTTTGTTATATAGTATATATGTTTCTACTATTCTTTAAGGTATTATATCTATGCATGTCATTTAACAATGCAATGTAAATTTCTAGTCATTACAAACTCTTTAGGATAATAAAGTTATGCAGGTTAGTATTATAATTAAAATTGTAGTCATGTTATGTATGTTTTCAAAGACAAAAGAAGATATATTTCAGATAAAAAGGTGGTCTTCAAATATTTCAAAAATCTAAAGAATATGGAATTTAAGATGTTTTAATAATGTAAAGCTTTTTATGACAAAGAGACATGTCTTCTCCTGGAAGCACCAATCTACTACAGAGAAGATCAGGAGCACTGAAGAAATTCCATATGGAGTTTGATTTCTTTGTGGCAAAAGTTAGCCACTGGACAAAATACTCTCCTTGCCTCAACTGCAACCAGTATGTTGCCCACATTGGACAAGAAATTCTCAAAAGAAAGTGATTGCTGAACTTTGTCAAGTCTAAGTTATATAGTCCTTCAAATTTCCTTTCTCATAGAATAGTCTGTCAGATATTCTAGGTCTGTAGGCCAAAGATGGATGGCCCAATGTTACAGAGGAACTTTGGGTAACTGTCCAGGCAGTCATATGTTTCTGTCATTTCTCAGTTTTGAAAGTTTGTTGTTTTTCATTTCCTGTTTACTCAGGTAATATTATATCATTCTTGGGTCTCTGACGGAGTTAAAGATTAAATAGTTATAATTTTCCTTGCTACCAAATTGAGAAAAGAAATTCACAAAGGAGGAGTAAATTGTATAAGGTTGAGAGACATTAAAGAATAGCTTGGGGATAGTAAGTTAGAATACAGAGTGAAATAGGTACAAAACTTTTGACTCAGCAAAACAATGGATAGATAATGGAGTATTTTCTCTGAATTTCCCAACTACAAAAGGACTGGTCATTGTGAATGTAATTCTTACCTGATAATTGTTTTTATTGAATATAATTTCACTATGTTGGAGTTAAATTTTCCTTTTTATTTAGATAAAAAGGGGTAAATGTGTGATATTTTGACCACATTCAGACAATAAAGCTTACTTTGAGTCAGAGGGTGGAGTTAGCAACTAGCTGACCAAAATTAACCATAAAGACTTCAGATGACTGAGGACAGGTAGGAGACAGTAAGCAAAAACACAGAACTAAAAGAAAATCTCAGTCCTTTGGATGAAAGAACAGAAGTGCTAGGTCACTGGCAGATGCTTCACAGTTTCTTTGACCATTCAGATTCTTATCCCTCATATCTGACTTCCCATTTTTTATTTATAAAGAATAATTAGATAAACACTTCAAAGAGGAACTACCATGCATGCTGCTTTACTCAATACCAATGTGTTGGTGGAGGGTCGACAGAAGTTTGGGTACTACCTGGTCCCACAGGCATTTAGTACCAAAGAAACACACAAAGGCTTATATTAATTATAAACTGTTTGGCTTCTTAGCTCAGACTTATTATTAACTAGCTCTTACAATTTAAATTAACTCATAATTCTTATCTATGTTTTGCCACAAGGCCTGTCACCTTTTCTCAGTTATGGCATTCTCATCTTGTTTCCTCTGTATCTGTATCTGGCTGAGGACTTTCCTCTTCCCAGAATTCTTCTAGTCTGTTTGCCACACTTATACTTTTGCCTGGATCCTGACAAATCAGCAGCATTTAATTAAACTAATATGCTTGATAAATCTTTACAGTGTACAAGAACATCATCCCACAGAAGTGGAACAATTAAGACAAGTGATATGAGATATTTCCATACAATATTCAACCAAGAAAGCATTTCTACCTTTCTTTTTAATTATCTCCGGAGCTGCCCAAGATCTATGAGCCCATACTTAGAAGGGATACTGTGAACATTTAGAAAAAGTTCTTACACCATTTGTAATAAGTCTACTCCATAAAGTTAACTTTTGATTTTCTTACAGACTTCTAAATTGGTCTGGAAAAATGTTAAGTTATAACACTATACAGAATGGAAAAGGGTAATTTTTGTTTAGCCTACTAAAACCTGAACTATAAAATAATTTAAACCAATATTCTCCTGAAATAATTTTAACATATCCATATTCTTTGAACAACAATCTAATGGAAACATACTAATTCTTGCAAAAGTGTAAAATACCCCTTGAGATTGAACAATTCCTTGAATATTAATTGTGTATGTGTGTGTGTTTGTTAAATGGGAATGAAATAATAATCCCCAGTGATTTGAATCCACATTTGAATCCAGAGGTTCAGCAGGGACATCTTGATAACAAACATTGACAATAAAAGACTTCTGTACATCTATAAAAGAAAAGAGAACTTGAGCTTATTACTTTACAATGAATTTTTGCTGGAAAAGGTAAATTTTGCAATTTTTGGTATATTTGGTTTACTGAGTTTAACTTTATTTTTGAAAACTACTTTATTTCTTAGAAATGTGTTCAAATTTATAAACTTTAGTGGGTATACAAGTCAGATAGAATAAGTCAATAAACTAGAACAAAAAATATGTGTATCAATTTCTGTTTACATACTCAAACTCCTTTGAAAATTCAGGTAACCTTTTTTTGTTAACGATTTCTTATTTGTCTAGCCACTGTTGGAGCTGGAATCGAGCATGCTCTTTAAGAGTACAGGAAGTTACTACTCAGGCAAATGACATCACTATCTTTAAATATATTGGCGGTAAACTATTGGTAATCACTTGTAGAAATAACTACTTTGCTTATTGACAGAATATTCTAGATTCACAGGCACCAAATATATTAACCAAACAGAAGATATAAAAATCTTAAGATAAGAGTGAATGTAGCCTCGAGCTGGTTGAACCTAGGTAAATTTCTTAAGTTCTTAGGTTGAATATTTTTTGCCATTGTACTGTGTAGAAAACCATGTAATTTCATTCAATCACGCTCCAGTTAAAAAGCACTGATTCCTTTCTAGTTTTTCTTTTTTTAATTTTTAATTTTTTTATTAATTTATAAAAATTTCCACTTCCACCCCTCCTCCAACTACCCTCCCACTCCCCCAACTCCCTCTCCTCCTCCCTCTCCAGTCCTAAGAGCAGTCAGGGTTCAAGTTCAAGAAAATTCATCTTGATATTCCCTTACTTCACTAATATACTACATGAAAGTTGTACTAAGGAAGCTTAGATTTTGTGTATTAAGCACATAGCTGCAAAACTACTCTTCTGTATATCTAAAATGTATATTTGCTCTGAATTTCAGTGTGACTCTCAAATGAATAATAGTTATTAAAGGTTTAAATCAAGTTCATTCTGCCTTTTATTTATATGTTGATCCTAGACTTCTTGTGTAGTCATAAACTGTTTGTCATTTTCAAATTAAATAGTCTCAATAAAATAGAAATAGTAAGATTGATTAATACTGCCTGTGGGAAACTAAAGAACCATATACATAAAGTTCAATATGTTGCTCTGGTACATAATAGGCATGTAGTAAGATCAGCCATTATTCAAGTCTTCATCAAGTAATTCTGTGATTGCACATTGTCTGTGCAATTTATAAATTTTGTACTGTTGTATAAGTGTCACATTTTAAAACTTCAGTTATAAAACCACGTAGGTGCATTTTGCTATAAATAACTAAAAAGACAAGAGATACATTGTATAAAGGAAGCTTGCGAGCATTTGTTTTAAAACTTTAAGTCACATTCAATCCACAAAAGTATATGCACAGCCAGAGTCCTGACTAAAATTTTGTCAGATAAAATTGTCAGTTATTTTGAATAATACATTTATTTGTGATATACCAAGACCGAGTTGCTGAAAATGAAGTCTTTTTTATTACTCCCTCTCTGTAATGTCTCTATAACAGCTTTGATCTGACAGCAACTACACTGTCCCATGGCTTTCCTGAAGGATGGAAACCACACTGAAGTGACAGAGTTCATTTTATTGGGCCTGACAGACGACCCAGTCCTTAGAGTTGTCCTCTTCACCATTATCCTGTGCATCTACCTGGTGACCGTGTCTGGGAACCTCAGCACCATCCTTCTCATCAGAGTCTCTTCCCAGCTCCATCACCCTATGTACTTTTTTCTCAGCCACTTGGCCTCTGCTGACATAGGCTACTCATCTTCTGTCACACCCAATATGCTTGTCGGCTTCCTGGTAAGGAGAAGTACCATTACCTACTATGGATGTGCCATTCAACTTGGCTCAGGTGCTTTCTTTGGAACAGTTGAGTGCTTTGTTCTGGCTGCGATGGCTTATGATCGCTTTGTAGCAATTTGTAGCCCACTGCTTTATTCCATGAAGATGTCCACACACGTCTGTGTCCAGTTGCTTATAGTAGCATACATAAGTGGTTTTCTTAATGCCTCCTCCTTTACCATTTCCTTTTTTACTTTTTTCTTCTGTGGACCAAACAGAATCAATCACTTTTTCTGTGATTTTACTCCTTTAGTTGAACTCTCCTGTTCTGATGACAGTGTCTCCATTGTTCTTGCCACTATTTCTGTTGGCACTGTGATTGTGATCACAGTCCTTGTCATATCTGTCTCCTACACCTACATCCTCATCACCATCCTGAAGATGCGCTCCACTGAGGGCCGTCAGAAGGCCTTCTCCACCTGCACCTCCCACCTCACTGCAGTCACTCTGTTCTAAGGCACAGTCACATTCATCTATGTGATGCCTAAGTCCAACTACTCCACAGACCAGAACAAGGTATTGTCTGTATTCTACATGGTGGTGATCCCCATGTTGAATCCGCTCATTTACAGCCTCAGGAATAATGAGATCAAAGGTGCTCTAAAGAGACAATTTGGTAGGAAAATATTTTCTTAGAGACATTTGTTATGTTGTAGGAATTGATATTTCAATACTGTTTTATGGATATAGTAACACAAGTTGAGGGTCTGTGATTGAAAGTCTGTTGATACATTATTATCAAGTAAGAACGATTGCAATAAATATCACAGTTCAATTTTCAGATTATAGATGAAATAGAAGAGTCATAGTAAGCTACCTTCAATAAAATCAAATAAAGTTTTAACAGCAAGGGTGATTCATATAAAACATAATATGCTGCAATGTTTTCAAAGTATTTTGTATTTTTAAAATATTTGATAGTCAACTTTGTTAAATATTGCATTTTAACTGTGCAAATTCTCATGTTTTTGTTAAATAAATATTCTTTTTTGCTGTTGGTAAGGGTTAGAATCAGAGGTATTGAGCCTAGTGGGCAGTTCTTAATTTACTAGAGACATGCCATAAAGGATATTTGGCAACCACAATGTTTTGTTTCTTCTCTTCATTTACTATAGAATGGAGAGATTTGTTCTATCATGTTTGATCATGATAGGAATTCAAACATTAAATTCCTACCTTAGATTAACTTATATTCATGAGCTTATAAGGACCAAAATAATCAAACAACAAGAAAACAACAGAAATGATTTTCTACCAAAGAACCAAGCTCATAAATCCAACATTGAAACTGTGAAGAAGAAATTTTCCTTCTTGGTCAAGGTCAATTTGACTTCATGGTCAAGACCCTCATCCCCATGTTCAGATGGGAGCAAACCTGGCTATATATCTTTAAAACACTTTGACTATCTTTAGGAGAGATGGAATCCAATCTTCTCCTATGGATGATGATCACATTTGCTGCTGTTTTCTCCTCCACTTTAGTGTTTTAGAAACAAATTTCATCTTTTTGCTTATAAAACAAAAGGGATTGATGTTTTATTCATTCATTTACATTTTCAAACAATTCAGAATGGTGTCCACTGATATATTTCAAATATATAGTCTAACCCATTGGATGTAGTTCCAAATGAAAAGTGTCAAGGTGTAATATAAACTCTAATAGAAGATCTTGACAACAAAACTAAAACATAAGTGATTTAGGCTATCAGAAGAGGTTGAGAACTGATGATACAACAAAAATCAACAACAAAGACTTGTGTGGGGGGTTCATGTGCCACAGACAAAGGTTTGACAGTGCAGATATTGTTGAGAACCTAAAACCTGAGAAACCTGAGAAAGGATTGTAGGATGTGAGGAACATGTCAAATAAGGTAGTACCTATGTGTATAAGTTGTGTGAATGCACTATTTCATTCATGTTCATTGTGGCTTCTCTTCAAACACTGGCAGAGTTGTTCACTTTAATCACCCTTGTATTGCATACAACTGGAATAATTCAAAAAATGTTAAGTAAATATTCAACATTAAATTATAGCTTACAGAATAAACATTTTCTAAGTATCCCCCAGAAAATGAAAAATCAGGGAAGTAGACCTAAAATTATATATATGCATACGTGTGTGTGTGTGTGTGTGTGTGTGTGTGTGTGTGTATGTGTGTGTGTTTTCATGGTCCCTGAAAGGGTTGTTCAGAGTTTTAAGAATTACTTTACTCAGGAAATTGGGCAGTGAAGAAAAGAGCTTTGATGGTGAATTTTTGAAAGTTGATCAATTCTCAGGGCTCAGCCACTACATCAAGGTGGTATCAGAGATAGAGTGAAAGACTCCATAAAATTAAGATTATCAGGAATCAGACTGGGTCTTCAAACTGAACAAAGTTTCTACCAACCTTCATCATAAAATAAAAGCTAAAATCTACTTGAGGTATGAATTATATGCTATCAATTCTTACTTGAGGACAAGCCACATGTTTTTGTACTCATAGTTTTCTATATAACAAATTTTTTTTATCTTCAGCTGTGAAAAATAAATGTTTCTTAAATAACTGCATTTTTGAAAAGCAGCTTTACATTTCCTCCCTCTCCATAGTCTTCAAGCTACCTAATGAAGGGAATTATATCACTCAGTAGAAAATACACCAATGGAATGGTATTAAATGAAACAAGAAAATATTGACTTTTTATCTCAGAATCCACTAGCATGAAATTTAAAATGAACCTAGAATCAACATTTGTTTAATGTAATCTTTTAATCATATACTTCTAATAATTGTCAAACAAAAGCACACCAAAACACATATTAAAAAAATCCACAATTGCTACTTGAAATTTGTGTTCATATGTCAAAAATGGCTTATTTCACCTGAGATAACGATCCCTGGGGATTTAAATTCATATTTGAAGCCTCAGACTCTTCAGAGACTTACTCTCAATGGTAAATAATGAAAATAATGATTATGGGGAACAGCTAGGACACTATAAAAACATGATGTAATTATCTTCACTTTCTACTTTAGAATGAGTCCTTATTTCAAAAGGTGAGTGTCCTAACTTGCCTCTACCAGTGGAGAATACATTGTTCTTTGAAAATATGTACCTATTTATAAGTTGTAGTAAAGAAGAAAGTCAGGTATAAATAAGAAAAAATTAACATGATTTATATTTTCATAGTCAAATTCTTGTGAATAATGAGGCATAGAATTTAGTTTTCATAGCTCTCGTATTTATTCACATACCTAGAGACCACATGGTCTCTAATGTTGTGTAATCTTAGCTCCAAGAAAAAATGCTAATAAATTCAAAACTTTGACATAGGTTGGTGATTTCCTGACCATTACTTCATGAAAACACAGACTTTGTTTACTGACTGGCTACTCTAGCATCACAGGCTCTAGGAACCTTGGACAAACACAAGAATATAAGGCTAAATGTCTCAAGACATGATAACCTGCTCCTAGCTGGGGAGCCTGGGTAAACTTGATAGTCCAGGTAGAATAGCTAGAAAACATCATTATGTTAGGAGAAGATTTGGTGAGTATGTATGTGAATAAGCTCAAACTAATATTATTAGAAATGGTAATCACACATTTGTCAGTGATTAGACTGATAGTGAAAAATAACCATAAGGCAATGGCTTGATAGGTAAGTAAATATTTGCTTAATTTATACCATGCCTTCCCATTTATAATATCAGTTCTTCCCAAATATTGTAAAATATTTTATTTCTCACTCTAAAAATTGGCCCTAAGTTAGTCACATAGTTGGCAGACTTGATGATCTACAATGCTAAACATGGACCTTCTATTAGAAAAACTGACCTCCTGCCTCCACCAAATTAACACATTACTCATTTTTTTTGTCACTCATCAAACACAGTATAGTAAGAGAAGACTGACTTCACACTGCCTGTAGCTCATGTCTTCATTTCAGGGCTTCCTAGCATTGTTAACTTCCTTAACATTTCTAAACCCCCCTTTTTATAAACCATAAAATTGAATCACTAAGATTTCTAGTATTATTTCATGGAAACAGCAGTAAAGCACTGTATAATATATTTAAAGTGATTTGGAAAGGATTCTTAAAGATTAGAAAATACTTAGGACTCCATTGCATAATTTTGTATTTGTACATCTTAGTTCTTTGTTTTACATGTGACAATTCTTTGTTATTTTAAAAAGTCTCACAATTTACATATTTAGGATTAAATCTAGTTAGGTGTATTTTATTATACAAAAATACAAAAATATAAATTAAAAATACATTATTTGAAGGAATTTTCTAGCATTTTATTTTGAACTTTATTAAATAATCAATGCATATGAACATATAAACACTGGTAACCCAATGTACTACTCTAAATATATGGTTTAAAGGATACATTTATTTGTACTATTTATGTATTATAGAAAATATAACCACATATTTATAAAATTCTTTTTTGTAATGTCTCCTTCACAGCCTTGCTCTGGCAGCAGCTACACTGTCCCATGGCTTTCTTGGAGGATGGGAATCACACGGCAGTGACAGAGTTCATTTTATTGGGCTTGACAGATGACCCAGTCCTTAAAGTCATTCTCTTCATCATCATCCTGTGCGTCTACCTGGTGACCATGTCTGGGAACCTCAGCACCATCCTTCTCATCAGAGTCTCTTCCCAGCTCCATCACCCCATGTATTTTTTTCTCAGCCAATTGGCTTCTGTTGACATAGGCATCTCATCTTCTGTCACTCCCAATATGCTTGCCAATTTCTTGGTAGAGAGAAATACCATCTCCTACCTTGGATGTGCCATTCAACTTGGCTCAGGTGCTTTCTTTGGATCAACTGAGTCCTTCATTCTGGCTACCATGGCTTATGATCGTTTTGTGGCAATCTGCAACCCATTGCTTTACTCAACCAAAATATCCCCACAAATCTGTGTCCAGTTGATTATAGGATCATATATTGGTGGTTTTCTTAATTCTTCTTTCTTCACCATTTCCTTCTTTTCTTTTATATTCTGTGGACCAAATAGAATCAATCATTTTTTCTGTGATTTTACTCCTTTAGTTGAACTCTCCTGTTCTGATGACAGTGTCCTCATAGTTCTTGATTCATTTTCTGCTGGATCCATCATTGTGATCACAGTATTTGTCATAGCCATTTCCTACACCTACATTCTCATCACCATCCTGAAGATGCGCTCCACTGAGGGCCGTCAGAAGGCCTTCTCCACCTGCACCTCCCACCTCACTGCAGTGATTGTATTCTATGGGACTGTCACATTTATCTATGTGATGCCCAAGTCCAGCTATTCCACAGACCAGAACAAAGTGTTATCTGTGTTCTACATGGTGGTGATCCCCATGTTGAACCCCCTCATCTACAGTCTCAGGAATAATGAGATTAAGGATGCTCTGAAGAAACAGCTAAGTAAGAAAACATTTTCCTAGAGATGTCTCTACCCTGTTATTTTGTCACATCCTTTGTAATAATGATATACCGTAGTATTAAAAAAAAACTGGGGACTGGAGAAATAGCTCAGTGGATAAAAGCACCAACTGCTCATCCAGAAGACCTGGGTTCAATTACCAGCACCCACATGGCAGTTCAGAACTGCATGTAACTCTAGTTCCAGGGGATCCTACACCCTAAAAAAA